GTTCACGGACATATCACACACATAAAAACTCAATTCATCCCCGCCAAAAACTTTTGGCTAGTGACTGTACACTGCATAACTACTACCCCTTTTTACTCACGCTTGTTCTGGTTGTTGAAGGGTTGCACAGAAGCGGCTCTCACATCTCACATAACCACCATCCCTTGCAGACCCTGCCTTTCCGTAGCTGCTTCTGTCATCTGCTATGTCCACCACAGTCCCCCCCCCTTACTCACCTCTTCCTTTTGTTTAACATGCTTCATCCTCATCTTTTACTGATATTACAGTCACTTTATTTTCCTCCTTCCATTATTTGATTATTACCATCTTTTATATATATATATATGCTTTAGTGACCTGTTGTAGATAGCATGCATAAGTTGTGAACCCCTTGAACTCTATTGTTCCCCAGATTTTTGCAGAAGAGAGAATGATAAGAAAGCCTCATTTTCATAGTAACATTCCATGTGAATGTTGAAGATAAATTCTGCCATGACTCTTCTAAGGTAGCCATGCTTGCAAGGAGGGGGCAGGTTCCAGTTGTGATGTACACTCATACCTGTGCTCTCCTTTTCCTCACATCCTCCTTGCATTTTGCTTTGCATCTCTGTTTTGGAGCCGTCATTTCTGCACTTTTGCATAATAATGATGCATCAATCCATCTCTTCTTCCTTACCATGCAATATGGAATGTAATCCAATTAATTACACATATAGATTCAAAACTGATTCAGGTGTACCCTCATTATATAGAAAATCCATACTTCCCATAGCAGTCTGCAAAAAACAAAGTTTTCACTTGTGGGGTTATGGACTAGAAGTGAGTCCACCTAATATGCAGTATGTCCAATCATGGATGACATTCACTTCATCAGATTTTTAACCCTATTTGACATGTTTTCTGTATGTAAAATTGAGCTCCAGATTCACAAGTTTGAATTGTGCATATTTTTCTAGGGAACAACATCAGCAGAAGCACTTACAGGCAAGTAAGTGTCCTCAAAGAATTGATGGGAAAAGAAAAATTCAACATACTGGGCTGGATCAAGTCCAGATTAAACTTACATTGCACTATACTCAAACAGGTGTGGAATAACATATAATCAATTTTATGTTAGAATCTTGAATATAAGAATTTAATGCTGAGAAATGAAGAAATAATGACCTAAGGCCAGATAAGACAGAAAAAGGATGAGCTTGTAAATCAAGAGCAGAGTATTGTTGGAATTCTCGCTGTTGGCTAGCCTGCGTCCCCTGCTGACTTGTCAACCACAACTCAGCCACATTAAAAATCTCTCAACCACAACTCAACCCCATTTCCCTCTTAGTTAAATAACTAAGATTGAACATCAACTTG